CGTGCCCTGCGGGGAGCTTCGCGTTCTGCTCCTGAGTTTGCTTTCTTTTCCGTGTCTGTAGGTCAGAGAAGCCCAACTGGGATTACCACGCAGAGATACAAGCTTTCAGCCACCGGTTACGTGAAGATTTTTCTTTGGATCTTCTCAAGACTGCGTTTGTGAATTCTTGTTACATTGAAAGCGAAGAGGCAAGGCGCCGAGAGCTTGGGGTGGACAAAGAAGCGGTTGCCCTCAGCCTGCAAGATAACAGTCACCTCGCCGAGCAGGGGATGGCCTTTTCGCGATCCTACCTGACCCAGTGCTTCGAAGGTGCCTACCCGGGTCTGCCCGCAAAGGGCGTCGCGGCACTGGTTGGTTTTCTTACCGGCCAGGAACTTGTTGCTTATGTGGCTCAAAACCTGTCTGTACAGGACCTGACGCTTTGCAGAGAGTTTCCCGTCCCACCAGGTGTGCTGCAGAGGACGTTCTTCGCTGTGATAGGAGCCTTGCTCGAGAGCAGCGGGCCCGAGAAAACAGGGATCTTTGTCAGGGTGAGTCAGTACTGGTCATAGTTTGTGTATTAACAACAAGAACACCTGAAGGTCTCAGAAGTTACAGGAAAAAAAAAAAGGCAAAAAAGTTAAATATTGTCTTGTACTTTGATGGCCAAAGATCCAGGGAGATTGGCAGAAATTTGACAATACCTGTAACAGGATAATTTAACAATGAGATCTGTTGGGTGATGGGAGGGGTTTAGGGTGCTTGTTTGTTTGTTTTTGAAAAAGCACAGGCTGTTCAAGTACATAAAATCATATACTTCTGGTTTATAATGGTGATATTTTAGTATTTGCTGAGGCGTGCTAAGGCAAAGCGTGATATTCCGTGCACTATACTATCAAATAATGAAACTATTCCTCGTAAGGTCACATATATTTTCAGTTTTAAAAAAACATTTTCTATAAAGCAGGGGCTGTTATTCCTCATAAGGTCACATATATTTTCAATTAAAAAAAAAAACATTTTCTATAAAGCAGGGGCTGAGTTCATGGGTTTTGTGTGTAGGAGTGCAAGCACCTGAAGATATTTCATAGAAAAACATTCAGTTAAAATGCACTGTAACAAAGAAGTTTTAGCAGCTACTGTCCCTTCAGTCATCTTTTTCACTTACTGCTAGTTTTGCAATGGAGAAATGTTTGTTAAAATCTTATTTCTGATACAAGACCACTGAGAGGTCTCTGAAAGAGCAAGTAGCATTTAACAGGCAAGAAAGTGATCCGAACGGGTGAAAGTCCTGTGGGTTTGCATCTTTCCTTCAGCCTGTTTGCAGAACCCTTCTGATGTACAAATTCTTGCTCCGAAGCAGCACTGAATTCCTTACCCTGTGCTCGGAGCCGTGCGTAAGTGTTGCTACAGCTCCTCTCTCACACCCATGGGTTTGCATGCTTCCTTCCGCCTGTTTCCAGAACCCTTCTGATGTACAAAGTGTTGCTCCGAAGCAGCACTGAATTGCTCACCCTGTGCTCGGAGCCATGTGTTAAGTGTTGCTACAGCTCCTCTCTCACACTGGTGCTGTTCCTTCTTTACATCTGGGCGGCTGACTTTGCCCAAGGCGCGCATCCTGTCAGTGGCTAAATCAGGACCAGAGGTGCCAAGCACAGCAGTGCTGGTGAGCTGTGCTTAGCTGTGGTGGAGCACTGAGGCGGTTTCATCATTGGTTTCAGCAATTTGTGGTCAACTGTATTAATGCCTCTTCATATTGTATCAGCAGATACCAGAAGCTAGAGCTTTTGTTACCTTTCCCATTAATTATAACTTCTAAATATTTCTGTTTAGGATTTTTTTATTCCCCAACTGATTGGAAAAGACCTGTTTGAGATCTGGGAAGTTGTAAATCCTATGGGCTTACTAGTGGAAGAACTGACCAAGAGGAATATCTCTGCTCCTGAACCGAGAATTACCAGGCAGCTGGGAGTCAGCACGGTTCTGCCACTGTACTTTGTTGGGTTGTACTGGTTAGTACAATATTAATGTAAAGTGGAATGGATTTAAGCTGGGGGAGAGGGGAGGAGGGAAGATTGTCTTTTACTTTTCTGCTCGTGCTCTTCAGTCAAGTTATTACAGAAAATAAATAGTACAGTGACTTCTATATAAATTCAGCCATTTAAATGTTGGCCGTAGCTTGCTGTAATGATGCATAAAAAGGCAGTCTCTGAGCAAAGGGCTTCAGAGTCTAAATCAGACACATGAAAGAGTCCGGGTGTATGTTCTGGGTGACCTGACATAGGTACTTTGCGAATAGCTTAACTGCATGGCTTTGGAGGTACCACAGCTGTATCCATGGCTTAGGGAAGGGTAAAGAGACACTGACATCAAGGGAGGTGGGACTGAAAAGAGACTTATTTTATAGTCCAGAGAAGCTTTTTAGTTTTCAAATCACAGGCACTGCAGACTAGGCAAAAGGAGTGTCTGTATCCAGGCAAGACATAAGAAGTGGTGGTCGTCCCTGGTGCATTTCTCTCAGGCATGGTCGGTGCCTGTCCTGGTCTCTTGCCCAGTAACGTCACTGCTCTGGAGCAGGACAGGACCTCCTTCCACCAAAACCCACATCATTGTTGCTTTGCTAAATGAGCTGCAGATAAATGCATGGGAAGATGGCCTTAAGTTGTTCTGATTTATCATGCTTTGGTTTATATGCTTTCTAAGACGTATTATGTTATGTAAATGGAAGGAACTTTATTTTTCCTCTGGAATCCCTGGTGTTCCTTCCTGAACTGTTCCCGTTCAGTGCCCATAGATGTTGATTAAACAGAGCTGAGTACGTACTTCACAACATAGAGAACTTCTCTGTGAGTCCTTTCGAAGCAGCTTTAAAATGTGCTCTTACCAGGGGAGGAGAAAAGACAGAAGCATTTTACTTCTTTGTTTAAGCTTACCAGAGTAACAAATTTGCATCTTTTTAACAGGGCGAACAAATTGAGCACTGTAAAGAATCAGTGATATGTTAGGAATCTAAAAGAGCAGAGTAGTGTTCTTCCTGGAAATGGACACATTTCTGATGTGACTTTCCGTTGCTGAATATACAATCACTTATCTTTGCAGGGAAGACCAATGGAAATGTTCACATTTGTGTATATATAGAAATTCCCTTCAGTATTTGCAGACATTGGAGAAAAAAAAAATCTAGCAGCCCTTATTCATGATACGCAGTAGTGCTCGGGATTTCATTATGAAAATGTTTCTAATTTTATTTTTCCCCCCCCCCAAGTGATAAGAAGATTATAGCTGAAGGTCCTGGTGAAACGCTGCTTGCTGCAGAGGAAGAAGCTGCCCGCGTGGCGCTGCGGAAGCTCTATGGGTATACAGAGAGCAGGAGACCTTGGGATTACTCAAAACCCAAACAAGCACTGGCAGCTGAAAAGGCTATTGGCAGTAACTAGATAATAAAAGACATTTCTGGATTCTCTTGAGAATTAATGGCTTCCATGTTGTATTTAGGAAAGCGAAATTCAGTTTTGTTTTCTGATCTTAAGTGCTTGAAATTTTAGAATCAAATACGGTATTAAAATAAATAAAGTCTTTTACTTTTGCACAATGTTTATTATTTGCTCATTTTCCTAAACATAACCAAGTACCCGTTTTCTGAATTCCTGTCTTTCAGCTGAGAAGGTTTTCCATACACCACAGGAGACTGTTTTTAATGATGTTTAATAATGTGTGACAAAGCCTCTGTGTATAGAGAAAGATTCTATAAGTGCTTCCTTGGGGATTGTTTTGAGGGTATTGTTAATAAGATGAGTTGAATTACATATGCGGTATTGGTCTTTTGATTGTATCTGGATTCATTTGTCCTTGACCTTGTGAAAACATGAAATGGGATGTCAATGATATTGACGTTGTTGATGGTCCAATTTAAAAAAAAAACGTGCAAATGGCACTTTTGAGGTTTCACTGCTTACATACAAATTTTATTTGCCATACACATCGGTTTCTATTGTTGGAGCACGCTCTGAAAGAGGGTGTATTTTTAATTTTAAAATTTGTAAAAAGGAAAATAAGGGTCATGAAGGCCTGAACCCAAAGAAATTGGCTAACAGTGTTTAATGCTATAGTATTAAATAAGCGACAGCCATCTCTTTCTTTTATTTTTTTTTCTTTTTCTTGTTGGTATTTTTCCCATTTAGTCCGGGTACTTAATTTTTCTCCTGTCTTTGGGCTGTGTAGTTTAAGCAGTTGTGTGACTGAAGCATTGGATTCAGTGAAATCAGTGCTGGTTTGGTTTGCACCATCTGTAGCTGTTCTAATGTAATTCCAAGTAAATGGAAAGTCACTTCGGAATAACTCGGGTACCTGCGTGATGTTCTTGTTAAATGCCATAAAAAGTCAGTATGTGTACCGAAGACAACAGATGCATGAAAACAGTGACTCTTTAGAATTGTTCCCTTTAAAATTGAGTGAGAGTCTGTTACAACCTGGGACACAGGCCTGGAAGAAAGGAAGAAGCTGAATGTAGGAGAGTGGTTAAAAAAGTGTTTCCTGCCTTATCCCATTGTGGTTTTAAAAAGACAATGGGTAAATGTGTCTTTACTAAGTGAACAAAAAACCACCAGCCCAGTTTGATGTTGCTGTCCCTAACAACCTGCATTGCTGGCCTTAGGCCCCCAGGATGGGTCGGTGTGGAGCACCCTGAGCAGCGAAAGGGCCTGGGCTGCAGGCAGGGCTGCTAAGCAGGTCTGTGGTATTTTGCAGGTGCTGCGTTCCCTGGTGTGCGAATGAGATCTGACTGTGGTCTGCTCGATGCAAACAGATTGATTAGTGTATTCAAGCAAAAGATCTGGTTGTCCGCGATGCGCGTGTGTTTTCAGTGTTTGCTGTGACGTACACCTTGAGAGTGTATAGAGTGCTGCTGTCGAGCCACGGGAGTGAAGCCTTTCTGCTGCATTCTGGCACAGGAAATACCTGTGTGAAAGCTTGAATATCAGAGGGAGAGCAGAAAGATCAGTCTAGCATAAAATATGCATAACATTGCTTATATTCCGTGAAAAATTCTAGCAAGGTAATCTATGATTGCTTATATAAGCAAAGCCAATAAGGCCACTAAATTCCAGGGGAGTAATAGCAAAATCTGAAGAGAGGATAGAAATTACTCATGCTATTTTTAGTTTCCAGATGAAGTATTTCTCTTACCTTTACCTATTTTAAAAGGACAATAGTGGAGGTGGGTTGCTTATTTTACATCCCAAGTTTGATCTACATACTATTTTTTATATCCATACCTATTTTAAGAGAGAGAAAAAGCGATTTTCTGGCAGTTTACCTTGAAAGAGTATTTAAGATCTGCTTGCTGTGGCTTCACAGTTTGGAATGTGGGTGTAAGTCCTAGGAGAAGTGGATTACTGAATAGCGTGCTGGAAAAAAACTGCGTAATGCAAGATAAATCAATGTATTGTGTAGTACATGTATGGAATGCCTTGGGCTCAAATGGAAAGACAGTTTGGGGCCATGGGCAGAAAGGACTGCATTTTTACAGGGGTGTGAGTGGAAAAGGAGTTTTCATAAGAAAACGTGTCCCATTTTCAAGCCTCCAAAGGTCAGACACACATTTTATATGGTATCTGTGCTTTAATATCTGGCACTCGAGTGTATATTTAAGGATTTACTGTTGTAGTGGGATAGTTTACATACTTCAGGATAATTTCTTTTTTTTTCCCTTTTTTTCTGAATCAGTAGCCATAAACAATACCTAAGTGGCATTAAAAGGTTGGTTAGGTTTACAGAAACTGGTGTCTACAAAGTCTGGTGAAAACAGCAGCTTTTCTCCTACTAGAAACATTGTTTATGAAATTCCATGATATTTTTGTTGTCTGAAAAGCACTCTGTAAGCTGCTTGCATTGCTTCTGACCCAGGTGCTGGGTATAAGAGCATTTATATCTCCCAGTGGTTGTTCCTTTCTTAAATCACTGTTTATTTATCTTTCGGAGAAGGCAGTAGATCAAGCAGCGTGTCAACAATTGACTGACCAAAAGGAATCAGGAGTGTATTCTTTCAACCCACTGAAAAATAATTATTATTATTATGAATATTATATTTGTGAACTTACTTAACAGTAGAAAGGATAAGTGCTTTAGCATTTCTGGAGTTTTGGAATAGGTTAACATCATCTCAGGGATTGACTTTGATGATGCTTTTCTGTGTGACACCTTTTAACCTTATCTGATGCAGGTATTTCTGTTACTGTGTTTGTGTTTATCCTTCCTTTGACTCAGTCAAACCTTATCTCGTAACCAAGATTTTTTTGTTAAGTGAAAATTGTAATTGGTAGATGCGGACACAGGTTAACAGTATTTCTGCACTAACTTAAAATATGATGTCATGTGCATGCTAACAGCTACGTTTTGACAAAAGTACAGTGCTATATGCTAACCCCTTTTTTAGCTTTCTTTTCCTTCTTGGTCTTTGTATTAATTCGCATAAGTATGCTAATATGCTTACACATAGATGTAAGTCGAATTATGAAATAAATGGACCACTAGTCGTTACTCCATGGAAAGCAGTGGCAGTTTTGCTATTGATTTTCATCTAGACTTGGCTTTACTCCAAATATTAAATAAACTCAACGTATGAATAGTCTTGGTTTACTCTTTCTGTCATCTAGATCCTTTGTCTTTTTCTTGAAAGCATTTTAAAAGTGATTTTATTTTGAGAAAGGTAAGAGGAGTACTACTGCATTGGTCCCAGCTAAGTAATGGGGGAAAAAACTGATTAATATGCTCTCATGCACTGTTACAAAGTTACCTCTGCTCTCAGTCTGTGCTTTTGCTCCTGTGTCTCAAGCTGTTCAGTAACATGACAATGTGCTGAACTACCTCCGTGCTTTCAACTGCAGCTGCTTCTGGTTAAAATACCCAGATATTTTGCTGTAATTTTCTCTTTAAAAAAAAATAAAAATCCAGGAATAATTCTTGTGCTAATTGGTACTGTGGCTTAGAGACAGGAGATTGAAATACTATCACTTCACAGTTATTGCCATGTTAATTCGGAGTTGGAAATTGCAGGTGCAAAGTTAAAGCTTTTATTGACATTTCTTATACCAAACTCTTTTGTTTTTATGATAAATCAAAAATTTAAATAAGCTGCTCTGGTGTTATGCTGCTATAAAAAGCCATGAAGAACTCAAACACATCAAAAGGTGTGTTGTCATTCTTTTTTGCAGGGCAGGGGGAGAGGGATGATGCAGCACAGAAACACTAGAAGAGCCCTACTTTTTCTTGTGCTTAGCTTTAGCGAGTGCTGTGGTAAACTTTAAACAGACTCTCAACTATTCGGCTTCTCTTACATTTGAGCTTTGAAGTTTACTATTAAGGGATGCATCTAGTGTAGAGATGCAAACATCCAAGGACAGATTGTTTTTATATTTTCAAATTGATTCCACTGATCTAATGGCACTAGTTCTGTGTGTTTACCATTTCAGCTTGTCTGAGAAATTGTTGATAACTTAGGAAGTGAAAATGTTCACTAGTTGGCCAGGAAATAGCCACCGTCAGAGTGCGAAGTTGTGGAGTGGAAGCACGGTGGATCCATCTGACAGAACCAGAGCACTGGAGGCTGTCGGTGGTTCTTTAAATCACGGGGCATGCTGCAGTGCAGCTCTCCGTGGTGCACCTGAAAACTGGGGCTGGTCTTCGGGAAAAGGGTAGCTCTAGGGAGAAGGTAAACGTGATCATCCCTTTCTATTTTTTTATAACAAGTGTAATGTTTCTGACAGTCTGTGGCAGCTATTCTTGTGCCTGTGCTCCTGAACTTGCAGTTTTATGTTCAAATGTGTTATCATCTGAATGACTGCAGTGCAGGTATTTTACAACTCTTGGGGACCTCCTGGATCATCATGACAATCCATCACGATCACAGCTATGTCACATGAGCCTTCTCCTAAACAGACACAACTCCATTTTAGAAGCATTAGATCTCTTGCTCCTATTGCTCCAGGTGGGGACAATTACGGAGCCTCACTGTTCTGATATGGAAATTAAAAACTGCTCCTTACCTCTAAGTACTGATGGCCAGTTGTGCTCACTTGTTCTTATACCAGTGTTCTTTATCAGAATAAATCTTGGTTTTATTGAGTTTGGGAGAACTTTGCATTTGATTGCAATGAAAATAAAATTTCATCAAGTTTCGAATGTGCCTGAGAGTTCCCCCTTACAGAGCACCTCAATAGCTCTGCAGTCCTGTGTTTTTCCCTGATAAGACTGGGATGCTTATATAAATCAGAGCAACATTTGTTTTTATAACTTGAGTAACATCTTTTAGGTTAATCATTACCTGACATTTGTAATTTAATACTCTCTGTCCTGAAGGCATGAGTTTAAAGTACTTAATTTTGGTACTTCATATAGGCAACCAAAATTAATGGCATCAATAGGTAGATGTGTCTATTAAAAATGGTATTCTCAATAGTCATTCAAGTGACTTGGCCCATTTTTATGTAGCATTTCTAACTTAAAAACATGCATACTTGCAAAAAAAATTCTGAAAGTATGTTTTCATATTGGGGTTGAAAGAAATATTT